ACTACTACTGCTGCTACTACTACTAGGATTAGCACTATAGAATGTCTATGTCTATGTAAATGAAAGTGCATGTACTTGCACATGTGCATGTCGTCTGCATATGTGTGTATTTGTTTCCCTATATGTGTAGGCATATACATATGTATATGTTTAACACAGACACAAATACGAGGCAAAGTTAGGAGCCGGGTACCGTAAGGCGCTCCTTCGAGCCGCCACCGGCGTCCTCGACAAGGAGGAGCGAGGCTCAGGCCGAGATGCGTTTAGTCGCGAGATTCCAGACAGGCTTCAGGGTCTTAGGGTGCTTCGTCCTTGGCTGCTCTTCCTGGCATCCCACGGGCTCTCATTCAGAAGATGGTCCAAGAAGCCTGTGGGGAGACTCGGCATTCGGGCGCTTTGAACGCCTCCAACTACCCACACCCTACATCTCCTTGTAGCAACCGGCAGGCTCGACGATGCGTCATGGCTGCAACTTCAGTCTCGAAGACTGCACCGTGCAGCAGCGCTCGAGCTGGCTGGGACCCCCNNGGCCCCCCCCCCCCCCCCCCCGAAGTCTTCCTCATTGTGGGAGTTCAAACTCTGCTGCTGGCCTTGCGACGGCATTGCCTACACCCAAATCACCCAAACTCGAAAGTCTGAAACACGTTCTTGTCAAAGGGGCCGCGGCTCCAGCCGAGGCTTGGGGCTGAAGCAGTGAAGAAGGCTGGGAGCTCAAAGACTTGCCAGAGAACACTTCCTACTTCCCATTGTCATGCTCTTCCGAGAGCTCCTACGCTGGTCAGGTTCGGCATCTTCGGAGTTTTAGGTGCTTCCCTCGAGTCTGATGTCTGGCAGGGCCAACGGCTGAAACCGGTAGGCTGGAGTTGGCCTCCCGGGTCGATTCCGATCGCAATTCGGACTGCCTCATCCATATTGAGGATCCTGCTAATCCTAGTACTTCGGGTTCTGAAGCTCACGCCCTTGAGGCAAGGGAAGCATCTGCAGCTGCCAAGGTGGGGAGGGCCTTCGGCGTCGGAATACGTAGCATCCCCGGAATATGCCGATGTCTAGTTCTATCGGGGTATCACCCATGGCCAATGGGCTTATGCCAGGATTTCCAGGCCCCTAGATTTTGCTGAGGAAACCGCAGGATCTGAGGGTTTGGTGGTATCACGCTTCCTCCCGACTCCAAAGCCCAAAACGGGAGGCCAGCGCTCAATGGGATCTGCTTTTGGTTGCAGCGCGCTCGGATAGGGATCCCTGCTTGTTTGATTACCTTAAACCCAGGTGTGGGGCCAACACTGAGCTCAACAGCAGGTTATCTTGGTCGTAGCTTGACATGATCCATGTGTTGGCTTGCCGATCCTTGAGTGCTTCATCGCGACAGACTTTGGTCGGTTCGGGAACTCGGATTGTCGGGTCGCGGGTCCTGTGTAGAAATTCGCTGGCCGCGTCTTCAGAGGACGCTGCACGCTTACACAGAATCGCTCCCTCCCCATCTAGAAAGACTCTCTCCTACTCTCTGTGTCTTTTCTTGAAGCCCCAGGTCAGCAAAAAGCAAGGGAAGAAGCTCTCTCAGCCCTCAAGCCTCTAACAACCCTCTGCGAAACTAGCAAAAGCAAGACACAGAGGCCCAGCACCTCCTGGGCCGTCCCGCAAGGGAGCCGGCTCCGACCTGGAAGGACATGACGCAGGAGCGGTTTGCACAAAAGCCTCGAGGGCACGCTCAGAGGGAGTTGGGCTCAAGAGCTTGGCTTCCCTTGCAAGGGGCATTGTGAGCGTTTTGTGTCAATTGCTGCACGGTGTGTTATCGGACGACGTTGTGGAAAGGTTTGCATTGCTACCGGGTTGCATCAGGAGCCATACAATCAATGATATTCGGGATGATGTTCTGTTGAAGGGGGAACAGCACATAGAATTCGATCATATTTCATGCGCCCGGGTATGGTCCTTATGCACGGAACATCAAGGCGCGTGGGGCCGGGGCCGTCGGCTGCAGTTGATCCGGGAAGAACCTGCTGCGTGAGATCTGGCTCTTGGTTACGGCCTTTGCCCATACCTGATCTTTCGGACAGACGGTCGAGCGGTGTTAGCTACATGCTTTTCAAAGTGTGGGGCAAGGAGTTGCATCGCAGACGCGAGCGGCTGCTGTCGCAGGATCTTGCCGGGTCGTCGAAGTGGGATTCGGAATCGGAATCTTGCGTGTCAGTTCAGGAGGTTTCAGAGTGCATGCGTGCTTCTCAAGGGAACCCTTCTGCTGAACCCACGTCTCTGGAGCTGTCACAACAATGCCGCAAGGCACACAGCTTCCAACTGATCGCTGCCCTTCTCGATTCCGTCTGCCGGAGACCCAGCTGAAGTTTCCTTGCTGGGGCGAGCCCGAAACTGTGCTCCAGGCTCCACCCCAAGATCTTCAGAACATAAATCGTATCTCGTCAGCCTTCTAAACGTCGCAGCGTGCGAAGGCGAGGTGGAACCTCGAGGGCCAAAGCAGCTCGAGGACGGCGGGGTTGACGTACGTCCCACGATAGCTCGTCAGGACTTTAAGGCCGTTTGGGTTTGGTAGCTCGAGGAAGGTAGTGTTGGATGGTGTCGCTTCCGGGTTTGCCAAACTGTAGGCTTGTATGAGGGGATTGTCACTGTACAAACATCGAACTTCTCGGAGAAGGGCTTCGTGGCCCGAGTCTTGTCGAACTACTCCCTTCCAGTTTCTCCAAACTCAATCTGCCGCTTCCGCCTGACAAGGACCACAAAAACCAACACCCTTCCAACCCGATGCCCTACCCTGAAAACCAAACATTCCCCAAATCACCTAGACCTTGGGCCCCGAAAATGTCAAAGTCGCTCGAGACCACACCTAAACACAAAGTTCTCAACATCCTAAGCCGCAAAGACTTTACAGGCCCGAAAGAGTCTTGGAACTGTACCGACAAGAAGGAGCCAGGGCGCAAAGAACAAACAAGTTAAACCGCCTCAAACCCGTCCAGGAGCGATGTTGCACCGAACTCAGGCACCCTGATGCCTCCGCCAGATTGCTTGCTGGGTATCATGGAGTTTAGGGTTGTCTAAACCTCTCGGGAGCAGTTTCTGCCGTACGATTGTGTGCGTTTGCTTATAATACTCGTAGGATTCGGCCATGCAAGTAGCCATAAATCGCCACGAAGGGTTTGTGAACCAAAGGGCTCCTGGATCCTGTAAGCCCCAAACCTGACCTGAACCCTACACCACCGAGCCCGAAAGCCTCCGGAAGGAAGCCATGAATCCTAAGCCCTAAACCCCAAACCCTGTCATAAAAGTTTTCCACAAAACATGAGTCATTGGGGGTAGGAAGGATGCCCGGGGATGCGGGGTCCATGCGTCCACCACCAGGCGCCTCATTGCGGTGCAGAACCTCATCCCGGAGGCTTGCAAAATCGGACATTTCCCCAACATTTTTGGGTCCGAATTAGAAGGGATCCCTCGTAAGTATAGTATAAAGACCCCTACAGTAAGCAAGGTGGCCTTGGCATTATGTGTGAATTCGTCAGTGATGTAAACAGTTCTATAGTCGCGCCGAAGATCAATGCCGGAGATTACAGGGCTGGGCACTTGCATGTCACTATGGCCAAAGGGTAAGGCCTTGGGTCTTTAGGTGAAGGTCTCAGAGTCATAGAAGTATGGGAGCTGAAAGTCTCACTCTGATGTTCTTGGGGAGATTCTTGGGTCTCATTTGTTGAGGTCCTTTGCTTCCAGGTTCGATCTGTCGGGGGTTGGGAAACAGGGAAACAGAAGCAAGGTTTCGCTAGGTGTTCAGATCGCATCGACCGTTGTAGCACGTCGAACATGAGTTCTTTACACTAAGAGACCACTCAAGTCCGGCCCGGCTCCTTTCCACAGGAAGGTGTTGTTTTGAGGCCTAGTGCAATCCCCGGCACAGAGCTCAACCTTGCAATGTGCCTTCAACGAGGAGTGGCGATGACTGGCCTCTGTGCGCTCGCATTCGTGAGACTGGGGCAAACGCCACGTCTCAGAGATTCGCTTCTAGGTAAGAGTCTATCATACCCTGATAGGCTCAAACCTGGGCCGCAGAAGGCAACGTCGTGTTCTTTGCCTTTCAAGCGCCAAAACCAGAAAAAGTCGTGCTGAGAGTTCGTTCTGCAGTGCCCTTGAAGCGAGATCGGGAGTCTCGAGGTTTCCGTCCCGTCTCAGGAGGTCTGACGGCAGGTCTTCAGCTTAGGTTTGGGGCTCTTTGAGGGGGGGGGGAGGACCGTGCTAGTCCAGTACTCTGTCGCTGCTTCGCGCCAGCCCGGCTCATGAAAGTCAGCACACAACGGAGCCTTTGCAGGAATCTTCCGGGCTGATGTGAGAATTGGGCTGGAACGTATTTTAAGATATAGAGCTACAAAGGTTTAGGGCCTCGGGACAGCTCGCGGCATGAGCTAGAAGCACCTGCTCTCGGGCCGCATGGCTTCATCGCAGGCTCTTCACTAAGCTGGGGGTGATGGCGTGTCATGCAGGGTCTGCTTCTTCGGTGTTCCGCATGTTGCTCAGAGCGAACTGAGGCTTTGCAGAGATTTATTTTAGGCGTTAGGGGTTTTAAGTGGTTTGGCCTCTCACCATGTCTTCGACTGTGCGACTCCCTGATGTCGTGGTCATGCTGCGCTCCCGAATGTCCGGTTGGCCCCCTTGCAGCCTAAACCCGCAGACCCTTAAACCCGAAACACAGCCCCGCACATCAACAGCCTGAGAACTAGACTTGCAGGCACGAGTCCAAGTTTTCCGAACGATGTCAATAGATCCTTATCACCTTAAAAAGGGGTGTGAGGCGCAGCCTATCTCTGCCCTAGCAATCCTGAAGAAGCTTAACAGACAGGCCCCGGCGGCCCCTGAAAAGGGTAACTAACAGTCCTGATCAACTCCGCAGAGCTTATTCGTCACAGCGCCTTCACCCCACTATAGGCTCGCGCGCCGTGACAGACATGGCACCGTCACCAGATGAGCCTTCAAAATGTATGGGCATGAAGAATTCGCAATAGTGTTCCTGATACGCTTCCCGATTATATCTAATAACTATATAGTAGTATAGAGCTCTTGACAACCCTACTCTAGTCGCTCAGGCTTCTCCATTATACTTGCAAGACTTACAGTGCCGGCATGCGGAGATCCGGTAAACTGTCGCCAGGATGGGTTCGATGAAGAGAAGGAGGCAGAAGTGCAGCCACAACTCGCCCGTAAGCGTAGGATACTGCAGGTGTGGGTTTTGTTATTCTTCGACCTCCTCGGGTGTGTCATTTCCGGGCGAAGAGTTCACCTTTTGTTTTGGGGTTGCAGGGTCCAGACTCCGAGCGGGTTCGGGGCCGTCTACCCTCGATCTCATTGCAGTTGGCCCCTTGGGTGTCACGCCAGCCGCATTGTGGGAATGTTGCAATCGTCCGGGCCACAGCGATCGCTATTTTTCTTTATTCTCCCGTACGGCATCGGGAGAACGATGCATGGAGACTTGTGGAGATGTCCGTAGCAATGGTTCCTTGAGTTCCATGATATTCTGGTGGCACACGTGTTGCCGAAGGACTACAGGGCTTTGGGTGTTGGGGCTTGTAACATTGTAGGGCTGGGCTTTAGGATTGGAATCAACATTCGCAGGAGGGGTTCTGCCACTCGCAGAAATATCAACTCCTCCATCCACGCCAGCCATCTCCACATCAGAGGCCGTGGTGCCAAGCAGTTTCTTGGGTGGCCCGGTACCCGTCTATGGCCTGGAGCGAGAGCATTTGGCCCCGCGGCTGCAATGAGGGGCTAAGGTAGAGGTGTTCAGGACGAGTATAAATGGCTTCGACAAAAAGGTGCCGGGTCTGGGGTTTCGACATTATAGGTCCTGCGGGCTTGACTAACTGGGTATGGTATTCGCTTGGGTTCCCAATGCACAGGAAAGGCTCTGCAAAACCTGGTAAAATTATTCAGGCCCCGATATTTGAGAGGGATGCAAGGCGAAGCAGCAGCAAGCATGACGGACTTGTGAGATTCGGCCTAGCCACCTGGCTACCGTCACAAGTGAGTGCGAGGTGAGCATCTCGCTTGAGATTGTTGTAGCGTTCAATTTCTATGCGATCCGTCTGATGTCGTTGGACTGCAAACAGACGTCCAACACAGTTGAGATGGAGGTGTGGTGCCATGGTATACAGAGACACTACTTCGCATGTCGGGGGTCGGGGAGGTTGCGTCCCTGCGCTGTGCCCTTACTCGCAGGAGGAGGATCTCTCCAATCCGCTGTACCGCCCCTTGCCGAAGGAGGAGGACGAGGACGCACACGCAAGCCAAGCCAGACATTGCTGGGTCTTTCCCTACGCTTTCGGGCCTCAACGGTAGGTTGGTGTTGATTCCTCCCCTTCTTTGTGTGTACTAGTTACAAGGTACCCCCCCAAACCCTATTCTGATTGTCAAGTCTCCCCATACTAACTCTGGGTAAATTAGGACTTGCATTGATGGTCTTAGGACCTTTGAATCAGATTGTGCTGGAGTAGGGTGAAGCCAGCCAGGAGTGGAAGATGCTCGTGAGGCACGCTTGCAAAGCTTCTTTTCGGCTGTGCGGTCTTCTGTCTTTGTGCTAATTATCGTCTCTACTCATTCTGCCGTCTGAGCCGCAAGCGTCTAGCTCAACCCGTGGCTCCAATTACATCCTACTCTGCGGTTTCGGTTACAGCTATAGCTTGCAAGTGAGGTGATTAGATATGGATAGGGGTTGAGGCATTCTTGTGGCAAACTGCAACAACGCGACCTGTGGATTCCTCCTGCCAGAGCAACAAATGCTCAATGTAACGGTCACGGAAGAAAAAGCCCAATCACGCAGGCAAGCCAGCAAAGGATGCAAAACATCAATACCTACTCGCCCATATGAAGATCGTGCAGCCAATACCAAGTCTTCCGGCATTACACTTGCTTTCTGGATCGCTGAAGCGCTCGAGAGAAAGCTCCAGTCGAGCTCAAGTTCCCTGTGTTAGGTACATAGATGACAAGGTGACAGGGCAACAGACAGACAGGAACTGCAGTGTGTTGGAGTGCAGGGATTCGTTCGCACCGCTTTGCTATTATTTGATCAGGTGTGGTGGCGCCGGAGAGGTCGAGGGCCTCGGCAGGGGTTGTTCGATTCTCTATCGCTCTCCGCCCTCTTGGAAATTGAGTAGGTACTGTAGGCTACTGGTTTGGACGTGAGGTTGCGGACACCCCGGAGGAGCAGCAGGCCGGTGCACTTTGATGCTGGCAAGCCGAACAAGAAATCCGACCAGTTCAGGAGTTAGGGAGTGGCAGGGTCTTTGAGGATGGGAGTCGGGCTTGGCATCTCAGACAAGACTTTCTTTTGTTCGG